AGCTGTTCAAAAGCACTCAGATAAACGGTTGGCAGGAAAACAAAAGGTGAGGGCGTCCGGAGGTGCACGATAAGGGGCAGTTCTGCCGGGCGAGTGTCGCCCTGTGCTTGCTCTCCTGATAACAGGGGGGAGGGCAGAAGTGGGGGAGGGAGGGGCCGAAGGGGACAGCTGCTCACAGGGCCATGGGGGCCGGGGAGGGGGAGGGCCCCTGGGGGACCCACAAGAGGGACCCGGCCCTGCCCTTGCTCCCTGCACCCTAGTAGGGCCCCGATCCTACCTGTGCCGTTTTCTTGGAAGACAGTGACGGTCAAGTTCCACGGAGAATCTGGGACAGAAAGACATGGCAGATTGGCGTCAACGGAGAGGGCTGGTGGACATTGGCCCTCAGTCCCCACGGGAGCTGCAGGAATGGGAAGAGGGTGGAGATCCTCCTGACCCCCTCCCAGCCCACATTCCAGGACCCGACACCCAAGGTCCCAGGCCCTGACCCCCCAGCCAACTGCCCTCAGGACCCCATCAGGGATCCGGGTGGCCCTGGCCCGGTTCTCACAGGACACGTTGAGGTGAATGGTCCTCATTGTGGTCACTCGGTCCCAGGCAAGGTCACCTGACAGGTGAGGTCGGTGCCGTGGTCCTGGAGCCGTGGGGTGAGGGTGAGCACAGAGGAGAGGTGGGTCTTGGGGTCCAGGGAGGCGAGGGCCGCTGACGTCCAGGAGAAGATGGGGGGCACGCCCCACGCACAGGCCCAGGGCACAGAGCAGGTCAGGTTACTGGGGCGTCCAGACTCCAGGGTCCCCGAGATAAGGATGTCAGGTGTCTGGGTCAGGGCTGGGGGGAGATGGGGAGACACGGGGATCAGGAGGAGGGTCCGAGGTGCAGCCTTGAGAGAAGCCTCAAGCTTTGGACCAGCCCCTGCCTCTGAGCCCCAACCTGCATTACCCCCAGCCCCTCCCGGGTTGTCCTGGGACCCCCAACCTTCCCCTGTGGCTTCTCCCACAATCTGCTCCTTACCTGTCACACGCACGGAGAGCTGGTCCCGTGTGTAAGTATATCTCACAGAAGGCCCCCTCTCCACCCTAAAGACGTATGTCCCCGAGTCCCCTCTCCGTACGTCTCTGATGTCCAGGGAGCAGTCGTAGTCCTGGGGGTTTCCGAGGAGGCGGAATCGGCCCTGGGACTCCTGCCGCACTTTTCCATCTGGGTTGTTTGTGGCCACTAGAACATCCTGTTGTACACCGGCCCCTTTCCGGAACCAGTAGCCGAGAGCTGGGGTAGACTCAGACCAGCCTTCCCGGGGATAGAAGCATCTGCAGGGCACTCGCACACACAGGCCCTCCTGCCCCTTTGCGTCCTGCACTTGCAGCCAGTAATCCCCCTGTGGCCCCCTCCCGGCCCCCCTCTGGCCCTCGGCCCCCTCCGTCCCCCAGAGCAGGACCAACAGCAGCAGAAGCATGTCTGGGCTTGGAGGTGCCAGGTCCCTGGGTAGCCTGTTTCTCCGGGTCTGTCTCTCAGAAGCTAAGAGCTGCAAGACTGAGAGGAGGCCCCGACAGGAAGGTGACAGTGATGTCAGAACAGTGGCCCTCGTCAGAGAAGGAACCTCGCACGCAGACGCTGTCAGGGCCGGGACAGCCCTTGGGAATCAGCCATCCACCATCGCATCTCCACTGCTGGGGACCCTGGGCCTAGAGGCCAGAGAGGGTGAGAGCCTCGCCCAAATTCACACCCTGTGCAGGGCTCGAGCCCCATCTCCCACCTTCCTGTCAATGCCCCACCCTTCTGGGGTCATTTTTTTGCAAAGTGAAAAAGGGTTCCTTCCTTTGGGCCAGACCACCTGAATCACAGGCCGTACATGTCTGTGGATCACCAAAGGAAGGAACCCTTTTTCACTTTGCAAAAAATGACCCCAGGAAGGGTGCAAGGGCATTGGCAGGAAGGCTGCGTGTGAAAGATGGGGCTCTAAGCCCTGCACAGGGTGTGACCACAGGCTCTCACCCCTGGCCTTCTAGGGCCCAGGGTCCCCAGCAGTGGAGATGCAGTGGGTGGATGGCTGATTCGGCCAAGTCCTGGCCCCTGACAGTGTCTGCGTGTGTGAGGTTCCTTCTCTGAGGTGAGGTGAGGGCCACTGCTCTGACATCACTGTCACCTTCCTGTCGGGGCCTCCTCAGTCTCCCAGGCTCTTAGTTTGAGAGACAAAAACTAAAACAGGCTACCCGGGGACCTGGCTTCCAAGCCCAGACATGCTTCTGCTGCTGCTGGCCCTGCTCTGGGGAGGGAGGGGGCCGAGGGGCCAGAAGGGGGCCGGGAGGGGGGCCACAGGGGATTACTGGCTGCAAGTGCAGGACGCAAAGGGGCAGGAGGGCCTGTGTGGGGGAAGTAGTGTCCTGCAGATGCTTATCCCCTCGAAGGCTGGTCTGAGTTCACCCCAGCTCTCGCCACTGGTTCCAGAGAAAAGTACGTATGTACAACAGGATGTTCTAGTGGCCAACAACCCAGATGGAAAAGTGCAGGAGCCCCAGGGCCGAGCCCCGGCCTCGAAACCCCCAGACTACGACTGCTTCCTGGACACGACGATGGAGAGGGGACTGGGGATGCCTTAGGGTGGAGAGGGGCCTTCAGAGATATACTTACACACGGACCAGCTCTCCGCAGCGTGTGTGACAGGTATGAGCAGATTGTGGAGAAGCTATTGGGGAAGGTTAGTCCTAGAGACAACCGGGAGGCAGTGGGGCTGGGGGTAATGCAGGTTGGGGGTCAGAGGCAGGGGCTGTGGTCCAAAGCTTGAGGCTTCTCTCAAGGCTGCACCGGACCTCCGAGCTGCAGTTCTCCCATCTCCCCCAGCCCCGGACCCAGACACCTGACATCCTTTTTTATCTCGGGACCGGAGCTCCACACCCTGTGTAACTCTGACCTGTTTCTGTGCCCTGGGCTTCAGCAGCGGGGGTACGCCTCTACCTTTCTCCCTGGACGCCAGCTGCCCCTCTCCTGGACCCCAAGATCTAGTTCTCTCCTGTGCTCACCCTCACCCCACGGCTCAGGACCACGCACTCCCACTCCTCACCTGTCAGGTGACTCCTTTGCTCGGGGACCAGCACCACAATGAGGACCATTCACCAACGCAAGTCCCAGGAGACCGCCAGGCCACCCGATCCCTGATGGGGTCCTGAGGGCAGCTGGTTGGCCAGGGCCTGGGACCTTGGGTGTCAGGGGTCCGGAATGGGCTGGAGGTCAGGAGGATTCTCCACCCTCTTCTCCTATTCCTGCAGTTTCCCGGGGACTGAGGGCTACGTCCACCAGCTCCTCCAAGGGATCACTGCTAAGTGTTCTTTCTGTCTCAGATTCTCTCAGGGAATCTGACCGGTCACCGTTCAAGAAACGCACAGGTAGGGATCGCCCTACTAGGGTGCAGGAAGGAGCAAGGGCAGGGCTGGTCCTCTGTGGGTCCCCTTAGGCCTCCCCTCCCCTCGCCCCTCATGGCCTCAGAGCAGCTGTCCCTTCGCCCTCCTCCCCAATTTCTGCCTCCCCCTGTTATCAGAGCAAGCACAGGGGCTTACCACTCTCAGCCTCAGAACTGCTCCCCTTATTATCGCGGCACTGACGCCTTCACCTTGTTTTCTGCCAACCGCTTATCTGA